TTCATTTTCATTGCTCAAGTTATATATAAATGTACATTATAGTTTATTTGCACTGTTTTAAATATTGGATATGCAATCTAGACCAGATATATGAAGGGCTATAAAAATTCTAAGAGTCTGTCCTGACTAATTTGAGGCTCACAAAAATTTATTTGTAGACATAATAATCAAAGAAAATATTTTAATAACAAGGAAAAAAGATTATTTTTTCCTAATTGTTTTATCATCATTAAAATATTGTTTTTAATACAAACAAGACAGTATTCCAAAAATACCATCTTAACATTCACTAAGAGACACTGAGCAAACTAGCATCCACCAGACATGTTCCCTGTCCTCAAGGCTATCGGAAAAAAAATATTCTATTTGTTAATCTCCACCCTCACTGCTCCCCACCTTCTCCCTAATGCCCTGTCAGAATGAGTTGAATCTAGTAACAACAAATCAGTCTTCAAATTGCTGCCTAGCCTTTTAAAATGTTTGCTCCAAAAGTTTAAAAAAAAAAAAAAATCTTTGGGTTTAATGCCAAGAAGGCAGGTATATGCCTCTCTCTCAGATGCATTTTCAGTTTAATAAATTATTAAGCAAATACTACAAACCTTATCTCTCACTCATATCCTTTCTCTTGAGCTTCCTATTTTTCTTGATCTTAACCACCAAACCAATCTTTATAAACTATACTTCCCCTAGCTTGGTCACTTACCAAACTCCTTGTCATCTTTCAAGTCTTAGCTTGGATGCTTCCTCTCTCTTGTGACACCTTTCCTAAACACACCAAAGTGATATAATGCCTCTCCTTGAGTTCTGTTTTATATATAACTTGGGTAAAATCATCATTTTATCATAATGTGATTATCTACATCTGCAATCCCCAACCCTGGGGCACAGACTGGTAACCGTCCTTGGCCTGTTAGGAACCAGGCCGCACAGCATGAGGTGAGCAGCAGCTAGCAAGTGAAGCTTCATCTGAAGCTTCATCTGTATTTACAGCCACTCCCCATCACTTGTGTCACCGTATAAGCTCCACCTTCTGTCAGATCAGCAGCAGCTTTAGATTCTCATAGGAGCTGGAATCCTGCTGGAAACTGCGCATGTGAGGGATCTAGGTTACATACTCCCTATGAGACTCTAATGCCTGTTTGATTATCTGAGGTGGAGCTGAGGTGGTGATGCTATCGCTGGCGAGCAGCTGCAAATACAGATTATCATTAGCAGAGAGGTTTGATTGCACAATAAATATAATGCACTTGAATCATTCCAAAACCATCCCCTACCCCTGTCCCTGGAAAAATTGTCTTCCATGAAACTCATCCCTGGTACCAAAAAGGTTGGGAACCACTGGTCCACGTGTTTGTTTTCATCTTACATGTTCCTTTAAGGCAGAGACTGGTGTGCAGTGTTGTGTTTTTTTTTCTCTTTTCAGATCTTGGGGGTCTGACATGTATGTATTAGGTACTCTGAAATATCAGCAGATTTTAGAAAATCTAAACCACTCTCTTGGCTTAGATTCAAAGGATTGTACATAAAATCCACTGATATTTTCCTAGCAAATAATAAGCGCTTTTTGCTATTGGGATAATTTTTGCAATTGGTGTAAAGTACCAAATGTCTATCCTAGAGAAATCCAAACTTCTTTATATCAAAGAGCACTTAAATATAAATAAGTATGCATATTGCTAAATTTAAAGATTAGTGCAACAATGAACTTTCAGTCTGTTCTATGATTGCCATAATAAATCTCAAACTCATGTTTTCTACATGAAAGGAATCTGTGGTATGGACAGAATTAACTGTTGGAAAGATTTAAACAAAGGTGTTTAAGTTTCTTCCCAGAGCCTTCACTAATGCACTCTCACTATCCAATGTGTATATGAAATTTCTCAGCCTTAAATTTGATCAGAGATATTTTTGAAGTGTGGGGGAAATGCTTAACCAGAAATTCTACATTGTTATTAATAGAAAATGGCTTTTAAAGTAAATAGAAAAACAAAGACTTTGCTGAAATTTTTAACATTGGCATAGTCTATAAAAACTAAGACAGTAAAATCATGATTTTTCAAAAAAAGGATACTTTCCAAGATTCCCAATGGATGTCTGAAACCTCAGATATTACTGAACCCTATTATATGATATGTTCTTTCCCATATCTATATACCTATGACAAAGCTTAATTTATAAATTAGGCAAGGGATTAACAATAATAGACCTAATGTTAACAATATACTGTAATAAAAGTAAAAGAAGGGTTACCTGAACACAAGCATTGTGATACCACAACAGTTGATCTGATAACTGAGATGGCTCCTAAGTGACCAATAGGTGAGTAGTGTCAACAGTATGGATACACTAGACAAAGGAAAGATTCATGTCCTTTAATAGTCTGGAACTAATTAATGGGCACACATGGGCACAGAGAGAAGTAAAAGTCAATTGGAAATCAAGAAGCGGGGGTGCGGAGTAGGGGGGGCAGGTAAAAGCCTACCTAATAGGTACAGTGAACACTATTGGGGTAGGGGATACACTTATAGCCCCTGACTTAAGCATTATAAACACTATCCATGTAACAGAAACATTTGTGCCCCCTTAATATTTTGAAATAATAAAACAAAGAGGGAAAAAAAAAAGAAAGATTCACATCCCAGGTGGGATGGAGCTGGACAGCATGAGATTTCATCATGCTACTGAGATGGCATGCAATTTAAAACTTATGAAGTTTATTTCTGGAATTTTCCATTTAATATTTTCTGACCACTGTTCACAATGGGTAACTGAAACTGCAGATAAGGACGGACTATTTTATGTTAAATATATTAATTATATATTAATTCTTCCAAATTATTTCAGTCTTAAGCTAAAATAACTTATTTTATGGAAAACATCAATAATTGGACATTGGAAGAAATGGAAGAGAAATATTCATTTGAAGAGTCAGTTCACTGGCACTATTATTTAATATGCAATTTCAGCCAGATCTAATAGTCATAAGAAAGAAAATCATCCTTGATATCCAGGAACTGACCTGACACAGCTACACTCCAGTGCTGATAGGAGATGGCTTGACACTCAAAAGTAAAGCTGGTTTTCTCATAGAACACCAACTGATCAGACAAAGTCACTTTGTGACTGTGATGAAGTAAGGGAGGAAAAAAAAAAAGACCAGTTCATAATTTTGTCTAAGAGCAGACAAAAACAAGGTCACTATGCAAACCACAAAAACATTAGCTTTTATCAGTAATAATAACCTTACCAATAGCTGGTAACATTGATATTGGCCAATCAGCTTGGTGAGATAATCCAATCATTTACCTATACAGAACAGACTGAGACAAAAAAATGGGCACATAATAAATTTCTGCATAAAGATCACATATGTATGTGATCTATTACGAGAAAGCCTCTCCTATCATAGTCCTACTTCACAGATTTGGTTCTTAGTTAATTAGATGCCTTACCAAAGAAAACAGCAATTATCTTTGGCATGTATTTTGAAATTTAAAATAATGTGAGAGTTCTGCTTCAGTAGGGGCTGAAAGTATTAAAAAAAATAAAATAAAATAATGTGAGTTTTTAAAAGTAACTAGTCTTACGGGGTTAAAACACAATTGTGTACTATGTCTGAAATGCATTTATCTCTTCTTCTTACACAGTCGACAATTAACTGAAAAAATTCACGAATATATTAAATAATTTAATTATCAGTTAGTTACTGATAACCTAGGCCACCAAAGATTAATTTCGAATAAAACATGAAATCAGTGACAAGACTCGGATTTTTAATGCTAACAAGACATTCTGCTTTCTAAATGAATTGACTACACACACTTTAATTAATGAGGGGTGTGGGAGTAGATATTTTCACTATGTAAGTGGTGTTAGGACTATTACGTGAAAGCTCAATAGCAGGAACGATGTTTACTTGTATCTTTACATCGCTAGCAGTCAGCAGAGTCTGGCACTTTATAAGTACTAGACGATATTGTTTTAAATGATTTTCTTTTTTCTTTCTTTTTTGAGACAAGGTCTTGTTCTGTCGCCAGGGCTAGAGTGCAGTGGCAGCATCATAGCTCACTGCAACCTCAAAATCCTGGGCTTAAGTGATCCTCCTGCCTCAGCCTTCCCAGTAGTTGAGACTTCAGGCATGGGCCACCACGCCTAGCTAATTTTTCTTTCTTTTACTTTCGTGTGTGTGTGTGTGTGTGTGTGTGTGTGTGTGTGTGTGTGTGTAGAAACAGGGTCTCGCTCTTGCTCACACGGCCTAAGGCTTGGCTACCCAAAGTGTTAGGATTACAGGCGTGAGCCACCGAGCCCAGCCTTAAATGATTTTCTAAGTCACGAAATTCTGTTTCTACAACACACTCTATTCCCCTGCCCCTCAAATCCATAATACTATTAATAACTGGCACAAATTTTCATAGATGAAGAAGGATTCGGATATTATGCTTGAAATGTATTTACAGGGTCTAAATTCACTTGCATTTCGTTATTCTATTACTATCCCGGTGGTGGTTTCACTTCTCAACGTGAAGGACGTCCCCAAACTCAAGGACCTAAGTTCCCAGACGTCCACACTCTCAGCAGCAAAGCGAACCCAGCCCAAGTTCCAGCAGTCCCTGCATACTTGAGCTAAGCGGAGGCCTCACGCGGCTGCGGCGCATGCGCGTAGGAGGCAAATCGCAGGAGGCGGAGGCTCAGTGAAGTGCAGACTGAGCCCCAGCTGTCTCGGCTCTGGACGGCTGGACCTGGACCCTGGGGTAGCGCAGGCGACTGTCGGGACGCGGCCGCGATCGGTCGCACCGGGCTCACTGCCCACACTCGTCCAGCTTCGGACGCCCCACGCTGCGCCTCTTCGCCAGCGGACACTCCCCGTAGGCGGCGTGTGGAAGCGCTGCGACGGGCGGTGTGGGCGGAGCTCGCCGCTCGGGGCCGCGGATTGGCTGCCTCGGCCTTGCCTTTCACCTTCCTGGTCGTGGGGTTCAGGTGTGAAGTGACCGCCAGCCCGGAGCCGGCTCTGAGGGGACGGACGCTCTTTGCTTTTCCAGTGAGGCTTTGACCTAGTCCATACGAATTGGAGTTCTCCACTAGCAGCAGTTTCTGGAAAGATTTCGAGTTTGTATTTTTTCTTTTTGTTCAATCGGTGGAACATATTGGCATCTATGTTTACCTCTAAACGAGTTTTTTGCTGGCAGCTTAAATGACTTTATTTCTCTCAGAAACGCTACATATTTTCTCCCTCAGGTGCTCATATCCTTACCTTCCATGACAAATCTTGACGACAATATATGCAAAAGATATGTAAAGATGATAACTAATATAGTTATATTGAGCCTGATCATCTGCATTTCTTTAGCTTTCTGGATTATGTCCATGACTGCAAGCACCTATTATGGTAAGTATGATTTTCTTTTTCATTTTTTGTGGGGGGAGACGGGTTTCACTCACTGTGTTGCCCAGGGTAGAGTGCAGTGGCGTCACCATACCTCACTGCAACATCATACTCCTGGGCTCAAGCAGTCTTCTTACCTTAGCCTCCCAAATAGCTGGGACAACAGACGGGAGCCACCACATCTGGCCAATTTTTTCTATTTTTGGTAGAGACGGGGTCTCACTCTTACTCAGGCTGGTCTTGAACTCCTGACCTCAAACTACCTTCCTGTTCTAAATTGTTTTTCTATAATCTAATCCGCGAAATTTGAAATTGTACCGTTGTGAACTCATGATTATGAGTGGTTGTGTTTACTTCCACAATCTGAATTTAACTCACTAACATAAAGGGTGCCTTGAACGTTTTAAACCCTTTAATAGATGCTTGTGTGAGAATACTAGTTATACCTATTTCAAAATGTCTTTAGTATTTTATGTAATATGCTATCTATCTTGGTTAAAAAGTGAGGTGAAACATAGTTTTGTAAAGCAATCACAGTGATGCTTTTAATTTTGAATAAGAATATTAGTAATGTAGTTTATCAGCTTCAAGTGTCCTGTAAAAATAAGAATTAAAGACAGTATAATGTTTACATTTGGAGATTTGAAGGATTTGTCTGACATTTGGTCACTTCAGAAGAATAGACTCCTTTTAAAGCCTGAAGCTACTTTGCTGTAAGCTACTCTGGACTCAGGTCTTTAAGGTTTTGAAGGTACTTTAGAGCATGATCCTGTCTACACACAAACTTCCGTGGTATTCCTGTAAAAACAAAATGTTGGTCAGTTCAGAACAAAGGAAAAGGTGAAAAGGAGAGTGAGAAAATGAACTCTTATAAATGGTTATATCATAAGTGATTGCCATTTTAGATCTTAGTCCTTTTGTAGAGAGACTGTGAATAATTGGATAGGTGTTCTCCAGGGTACAGTAGGGCTGTTCATTCATAATGATTCACAATAGGGAGTAGGGGTTTGGGGGGAGGGAAGTGAGCGAAGATTCTTGGTGCCAGGATTAATTGTAACCTAAACTAAATAGAATAAACCAGGATTTGTAAATTGAAGTGTCCCCCTGGGGCCAGTCATCTACTGCAAATGAATGGAGCTGGCCAAGTTTTTGCATATTAAACATGTCAATAGTTTTCACTTTCATAAGTAAGATTTTTCCCATTTTTTGGTGAACGCTTGGCCCTCTTTGGCTTTCATTTTCCCATTTTTGATAAAAACATGAACATAAGCAGTAGTTCATGTTTGTCTTTCCTATGAAGAAATCATTCAGCCTTGGTGTTTAGGAATCTGTCAGGAGTGGTGGGGAATTAAAACAGGAAAACCATGGCTTATCTAAAAAAGGAGGCCTTTCTTCACCTTCAGTTAATTCTGCCATGTGGGCTAGAACTTAAGGTTTTTATAACAGAAGCCAAGAATCTAGTTTTTTTAATATGAAATCTAATCTTTAATTATTGACTCAAATTGTTTGAAAACACTGCTAGCCAAACAAAACATCTGTGAGCTGGATGCAACCTTTGGGAAAGTCAATTTCTAACCATTGAATCAGGTGTGCTCTGAGAGGCAGAGGGAGGAATAAAATCCTGTTAAATAAAGAATTTGTTCTGTGTAATTCTTGAAATTTAAAATGAGCCTTTCAGAAAAATGAGGAACCAGAGATTCATTTCAATCTCCAAATGCCCATGTTTGAAATACCCATTATCATAAATATTTTAATAGCTGTAAATATTCTCAAAACTTTGACATGACTCATTTGACCATTTCTCGGTAAGATTGCCCCTCTGGAAATATACAAATCTCAGCACAAATACAGTCATATGCCTCATAACGATGTTTCAGTCAACAACAGACTGCATACACAATGGTCCATAAAGTTATAATACTGCATTTTACTGTACTTTTTCTATGTTTAGATACACAAATACTGACCATTGTGTTATAATTGACTAATCCTTTTTAATAAAGGGATTTGTTCTGTGAAATTTGTATTCAGTCGAGGGGCCGCACTTGGGGATCTGGAGGGCCACATGTGGCTTTGAGGCTGCAGGTTCCTCATATAGCCTAGGTGTATAGTAGACTATACCATTTAGGTTTGTGTGAGTACTGTCTATGTTTTCAAATGATGGAATTGCCTAAGGACACATTTCCCAGAACATATACCTATCATTAAGTGACATATGACTGTATGACTGTATTTTTCTTTGGTGACTTCATCTCAGTCTTTCTACTTTTGATAGTATTTTAATCCAGATAGCAGTTATCAAAGCTTAGTGCCAAGATTAACCTGTGCAGACTTCACAATTTGTGCTCCACCTTTATAATTTTTCAGGTAATTTACGGCCTGTTTCTCCTTGGCGTTGGCTGTTTTCTGTTGTTGTTCCTGTTTTGATCGTCTCTAATGGCTTTAAAAAGAAAAGTCTAGATCATAGTGGAGCTTTAGGAGGTATGTTTTAATTTTGAATGTTTAACTATATAATAAATGCTTGCTCATATTTAAACTTATGTTTTCTAAATTCTGAATATATGGTACTATAAATCATAACGTTATATATTTTAGACATGTTAAAGTTATGTATTGCTGAGCATTCCTATTGTTAAAATTTCCCAAAGTAACATATAGTTTTAGTGTAATGTACAAATTTAACTTTGTAATTGATACAAAGTAGATTAATAGGATAGCCTTTTGAGAAAGGACCTTGACTCCTCCTTTCTGCTCCTTTAGTTTGATTATTCTCCTACTAACAGAAACATTGGAGCACTTCTCCTAGGTGTAACATAGAGGAACAGTTGGAAAGAATAACTCTTGGAAATTGCTGTTAGTAATCTCAAGCAAAGCAGTCCAGACTTAGTGTTCTAGATTAATTTTTCAGAACTGAGCTGGGGACAGGCCATTTATTCCTTCTTTTAGCAAATATTTATTAAGCACTTACTACTCTGTGCCACTGTTCTAGAAACTGGGGATGTAGCTGTGAACAAGGACAAGGTTTCATTTCTCATGGAATTTTTATTCTTTAGGGCAGATAGATAATAAATAAAATATCTAAAACTTTTATGATAATGATGAAATTTATGAGAAAAAAGACAATAGTGTGTATGTTGGAAGATGTGGGTCATTCTTCTATAGACAGAGAAAAGGTCAGGTGCTTTTCTCTAAGGAGATCATTTTAACCTGGGACCTGAAGAAGCCAGTAATGAGAAGATCTGAGAGGATGTTCCAGGCTGACAGAATAACAAATGGAAAATCCCTGACATGTACAAGCCTGCCTTATTTTAAATGAGAGTGAGAAGAATCAGGCTCATTTAAATAGTAGAGATAAAGTTGAAGAAATAGGCAAGGACTGAGTCATATTGGGGCTTGTAGACCACAGTAAGAATTTTATTCCAAACTAGGTAAGATCCCTCTGCCTCAAATCAGGAGCATGACATGATCTGATTTGACATTAGAGCTTTCATATCCTACCAGTGTTATAAACACCAAAACTTTAGGATTCCCCCAAAATACTTCCTATAGGATGTAATCACTACAGGATGAGGATTATTTAGAATGGATGAGTCTGAAAGCCACCTACCCAACCTTGAAAATGCTGCTCATCTTTAGCCTCTAATGCACTATAAACACCCTCTGTCCCCTCTGTATTTATGTACAGCAGATGTTTCTTATAAAGTTTTATAAACTAGAATGGACCTTTATGGAGGCAAGATTGCATGATGGGTAAAAGAAAAAGCACTAGAGTCAGCCAGGATGAATTTGAATAATAGTTATAGCTTTGAAAAAGTCATGTAACCTCTCTATGCCTCAGTTTTCTTGTCATAAAAAAATGAAGTTTTTAATACTTAACCTAGGGAAGGATATATCATTAATTTAATGAAGCTTAAACTTGAGAATACCTCACTTGCAGTAGTACCTTCCAAGGCCTTGGGAAGAGCCCTAGCAATATGTTTTCATGGTCCTATGGTTTTGTAAATTTTGCAAAGTTAAAAGATATTTTTGTACTCTTTTTTTTAAAGGGGGCTCCCAAATTATATAAGCTTCAGCCTCCACCCCCAAACCTAGATTTACCCTTGATTTCATTGTTAGGGCATAGTGAGAGCTAAATGAGGTAATTACTATCAAGTTCTTAGCTCAGTGCCTGGACACATAGCCAACATGTATTGAGTACTTATTATTATTAGGTAGAGTTCTTCAGAATCATGCTAATTCTCTTTTTTTCATAAATGAGAAACATTGTTCAAGTTCCATTGAGAGTTTTTTTTTTCATTCTGAGTCGGTAGTTGAGAATTAAAATTAATTAGACATGTTGACATTTTTATATGAATTTTTTTACCATATAATCAATAAGTATGAGGAATGGTTATGTTTTATTTATTTAACAAATGCTAATTTTGCACTTACTATGTACCAGGCACTACTGTTAGCACTTTGGAATCCATTTATTACAAATAATTTGAACAAGCTCTTCTTGAATGTAATAACATAGAGTTATGCTTTGCTAAAAAAAAGGTTCTTTCTCAGGTATCCTGGCCTTACTATTTATTATTGTTGACCTATCTATAGCAAGAAAGCTCAAGTCCTTCTTGAAATTCCATCTTCCTTTAGCCTCTATGCTACTTCTCTTACTTTTTTTTACCTTACTTTTTTTTACTTTTCTGATCTCTACTTTTGTTTCTTTCCTGCTACCATTTCCTTTCCTTTCCTACCTTCTAGCCCTTGGGCCTCTACTCTTCTCCTGCCTATCTTGATTTAGAATTAAAAGATATATATTTGAAACCTAGCACTGCCACCTGTTATTGCTGTGAACTTTGGCCAGTCATCTAACTTGGGAGCCTCACTTTATTCATCTCTTGTGAAATAGGTCCAATAGTAATACTTTATGGGCTTATTGGTGAGGCCCAAACAAGATATTGTGTGAGAGACGCCCTATCTTTGTAAACTGTAAAGCACTATGCAAACCTTCACTGTTAGTGATTATCTATTTTCAACTGTATGTTTCTATGTGAATGACTTAAATTGGCATTGCCACAAACCTTTGTTTCTTTCTCCATATCTCTGCTCATATTACTGCCCATCTCTCTCTCACTTCTCTCCTACCTCATTATATATGCTGATTATTATCATCTGCATTAATGGAGAAGTATATAGAGAGGTTTGAAGGCTAATGAGAAAGTTCTAGGGGGAAAATAATGAAAACTGCAGAAAATTAAAATTAACTCTCCCAGAATGAGATTAAATGAAGTATTCCCACTTAGAAAGGCTATATTGTTCTAGGCTTCTTAGTACTTAATGAGGCATTCACATTGTATAGGATTCAAACCTAATAAAGTCATTACTTTGCTGCCAGCCCTAATGATGGAAATGATCCAATGTAGTAGATGGAAGCATGTTGTTAACTTCCTTTTCAGTAGTAACTGATAGTTCTAAAATCAGGTTGTTTGCTTCTAAAAAATTATCCTGGTTACTATAATATGCCACTCAATCTGCTTGAGAACAAAGGACACCTACTAGATTATAAACTCCTTGAGGACAAACAGTGTATCTAATGCTTCTGTGTCCCATGTTTTTTTGAATAGTGGTAGGCACATAATAGGTGCTTAGGAAATAATAGTTTTATTTTAAAAACCTCTGATCTTTTCCTAATCATTTCATTCTATGAAACATTGGTATCTTACTGTTTGGAACTTTTTGTTCCTTAAGGATAAAAAATGTATTGCTGATTTAAAGTATATCATAGTAGTTGGGAATATTGTCATGGAGTATGACTTCAAGTTACTTAAACTCTCAGTGTTACAATGTTCCCATCTGTAAAATGGAAAGAAATAATAGTTTCTATAGCAATGAGTTATCATGAAGAGTTATCCATGTAAAACACTAAGAACTGGCAAACAAGTATTTTACAAATGTTATTTTAACTGTTTTCCTTCCACTATACCGCTATTCACAGACATAAAGAATTTTACTAAGGTTTACCACATCGTGACTTTAGTGTGTTTGGGATTGAGAAGTAAGACTTACAGAACTGTGTCTCAGGATCTGGGTATTTACAGCCCCCCTTGACAGGAACACATACCTCGGTGTTGATGGAATGGGGGAAGGTATGAGGCAATGCTTAAGGTGCACAGTGAAGTAGAGGGCTCTGGTCTACTGGAGAGAGAGAGTGTTGCCAGGATAAGGAGGGTCACATGAGGGGATATGTGGGAAGGTGCATGTAAACTGTAAAGTACTGTACAGGTGATTTACTCCAAGGAAATGTTGCATACTCATTGTTAACATAGTTCTGTGTAGTTACTGAAAGTTTTCCTTTGAACATGTGAATGTGGACAATTTGTTATCAGGCTTTTTGACTTGGCAAGTTCTAATTTAATTCCATTTACAAAAACTGTTAGGCTGAGTGGTTTACCTTTTCTTTATTTATTTTCAACAAATACTTAGTGAGGGTCCCCTGTATACCAAGAACTGTTTTGGGCACTTAGGATTTTAACAGTGAATAAAATGGATAAAAATCCTTCTGTCATTGAGCTTACATTTATAGTCAAGGGAGACAGATAAAAATAAGATGAGTTTGAGACATCTAATCCCCAGAAAGAGATGCTGTAAGTATAATGGAAGTACACAGCAAGATAGAGTGTTGTCAGGAAAGGCCAATGTTGGTATTCTGTCTGGTCCCACAAGGGTGGCCTTACCTCTTTTTTGTCACTGTAGTTCAGGTCTTATGTTTAGTCTTTCTAAAGTAGAAACTTCACTCTGTCAGGCCAAGAAAACTGGCTGAACATTGCTCATTGTCATAAGGGATTGATATATGAGCCAGAATGCTGCTTTATTAATGTGATCATATCTAGAGCTACCAGGCAAACTGGAATACAAACATCACTGTTCAGGCATGTCCTATTTTTGTAGTCAGGCCACTTGAGAAGCCAGATTATAATTATAAGGTTGCTTTGGTGAGTACAAAGTCTGAGAAACAGTAACACATGTCCACAGGTCAAAGGGTCCCCTCCCTCAGACAGAGTTCGACAAGTTTGCCAACTTCTGGTTCTTTTGGCCTTCACTTTCTACATTTTGGGCTAACCAGTTAAATTGCTATGAAGTGCATATAAAACAATAGATTAGATAGATTAGGGTTGATTAAATTACTGTGAAATTTCAGCCCTGCCTTTCCCTCTTCTGCCTCCCAGAGATTACCTAGGTCACCTTGGTTAGAATTTGGGATATAACTCTATTCCCACTATCAGACATTTGTAGACAGTGTTCTTTTGCTCCCCTAGATGGCATCTAGATAGAAGTTACCTTTAGGCTCAGAAGGCAGCCATAATCCTTGAGTCTTCAAGTTCTTTGTGAGTACCTTATTGTCCCATATATGAACCCCTAATCATTGATAATTAGAGATTCATGGGGTGCAGTGGAGAGGTGGAACAGATATGAACAGGAGATAGCAGTTACTAATCTAA